CAGATTTACACCCAATTTTAATATTTCAGTAGGGTTATATTTAAAATAAATGAAAAATAAATAACTGAAAATTACAACAAATTATAAGCTCACTTTATGTTTAAAGTTTAATAAAGAAAGCTTTTGAATTTAACGTATTTTGTTTTAATGTTTCAACTTTTATCTAGTCTAAAAAATAATAATAGTCGTATCATGGAAAAGTAGAAAAAAATAATAATAAAAGATAAAAAGAAGAGTCCTAAAAATTTCAAATTACCTTACCTTTATCCTAATTACCCCCCAACTTCCTTAACTTATTTGCTAAAAATCCTCCTCCCATTTAGTTTATTTTATTTTTTATTCTATTTTTTTTGTTTTTTTTTTTGTTCTTGCACGATCTTTTACACGTTTTTTTTATTTTATTATTATTATTATTTCTTTCTTTCTTTTCTCTTCGTTCTTTCTTTTCTTTTTTATTTTTTATTTTTTATTAATTGTTTGTTAAATATCATATTACTATTTTTCTTCCTTTATCTCAACCCTAAAATTCTCAACTAAAATTTAAATGAAATCCTATTCCCACTCCATCACGTTCCTTTTAATTAGCACTAGACTCACACCCAAAACTATTATAAAAACACACGCTCAGTAAAGAAAAAAAAAAGGAGGAAAGAAAAAACAAAGAGAACACATACATACAGAGATACACAGAAACACAGAGAAAAAAAAAGATAACAAAAAGTGAGTTTTATTTTGAAAATTAAGTCAGCGTTCAAGGTTTCACTCAAGGTTTCGGATTCGTGGCTCTTTAAAGTTAATATTAGCTATTAACTTTGGAAATCAGTAGATCGTAGCAGTTGTTTTTGCGGTATTAATTTTCCCAGCGAGGTAATTCTAAATCCTCGCATGAGTTAAATAGAGTACTTGTATGAAAACTAGATTTCAATAATATGAAGTTCTTTGAATTGCATGTTATTATTATGTAATATCAATCTGTGATGCATGTTGTGATTATTATTATTTTTTGAGAATTTACGAATGCTTAGGAAAACGGAACCGAAGACGTTTCTTGCTTAAAAA